GACCTCACCATGACAGGTCTCATATTTTTTAGAAAGATGCCTCCTCCGTAAAAGCATGTGAGCAGAACCGCCACGCAGGAGCAGAGGGCACAAGTGCTTCCCACCCTTGCTTTCCAGTGCTTGGAGGCATCACAGGCCTCCCCCAGGATTCCTTTACACTCTGTCTACCAGCTCAAAAGAGCCACTAAATTAGCTTGCAGAGGTAAAATGGGCAAGAAACTGGGACAAATGGCCCCATCTACCCCCACCTGACATGAGAAGAGTTGAATAATTGAATTCTACCAATTTGCCAGCTTTTACTTTGTAGTCTTAAGTCTTTTCAGCTATGGAGAAAAGCTGGTAGGACATCAGTGAAAGCAACAGAATATTAAATACCTAATTCTCATCCTTACTTTTGGGAAAGAAAACAGTTTGAGATAATGGATGAAAACTGTAAAATCTGTGTTAATGTTTCTCATATTTTTTAAGTTCTTCTATTTCCCTAAAATATGAAAACCCAAAAGTCGGGCTATGTCTTTGTGTCTCCTAATATACCTCATATGAAATTTCCCTGGAACTGAAACTTAACCAGTCCTCAGTGGCCAATATTCTTATTGTCATTAGACTACAGCTGTCCTTAAAACAATTGATGATAATGGCTTTGAAGCAAATAGATGAGACACAACTTTTACATTCAGACAGAGCAAGCAATTTTAGGTTATGTTTATCATACATCATCTGATTGCTTATAATTTTACACATAGCTATAATTTTTATTCTTGTCTCTGGTTAAAAATAGGGCTTCTGAATGACTGGTTGTCTTAGAACAACTCTGGTTAGCTCAACAAGCATGGTTAGCTCTACTGTACGCTCTGCAAACAAAGAGGGGGGGAAAAATGGAATCTGATTCTTCAGGCAGCCAAAGTTTTGGACAAGTCCTCTGGGGTAGAAATGAAGAAGTAATTTGTGAGGGAGTGACATCATCAAGGAATCGCAGTCTGACTGGGAACTCAGCAGGGCACAGATCTGCCTGATTCAGGACCCCAAACAATGAGCTTTGCCAGTCTTCGTGCCTGTCTAGGCAGGGAACCTAATTCATAGCCTTGTCAACTGCTGAGGATCGCTCCCATTCCTGTCCAGCCAGGAAGCCTGGCCTGAGCACCTGGGAAGCTGTTTAGCCCAGCAGCACTCAAGTTGAGAGCCCAGCCAGCAGCTCTGCCGTTTGCAGAGGCAGGATGGTGGCCCCATTTGTTTGGGGAACTTGGTGCACAGTTCTGCCTGAGTCAGGACCCCAAACAACAAGCCATGCTGGCCTTGAAACCTGTTTTGCTGTTGCACCTGGAAGAGGAAGCTAATTCACAACCCCACCCACGGCTGAATATGGCCTCCGGCCCCGCCTGACCAGGAAACCTAACCAGAGCTCCCAGGAATCTGTGTAGCCCGTCCTGCAGCCCCACTTACAGTAGCGCTTGAGCAGAGAGCACAGCTAGTGGCTTTCCCCATCTGCAGGGCAAAGCCATATAAATAATCCTGCCATTTGCGATGGATAGACCTTCGGGGCATTGTACTAAGTGAGATAAGTCAGACAAATGTCAGAGAAAGACAAATACTGCATGATGTCACTTTTATGTGGAATCCAGAAAAACCAAACTCATAGAAAAAGAGATCAGATTTGTGGTTAGCAGAGGCGCAGGAGGGTGGGCTGAATTGTGTCAAAGTGTTCAAAAGGTGTGAACTTCCAGTTATAAGATAAATAAGTACTGGGGATGTAATGTACAACATGGTGCCTGTAGTGAACCATGCTGTGTGGTATATTTCAAAGCTGGTAAGAGAGTAGATCCTAAAAGTCCTCATCACAAGGAAAAAGACATTTTTGTAACTATCTAAGGTGATAGATGTTAACTAAATTTATTTTGGTAATCGTTTCGCAGTATATATGTACGTCGTCATGTCCTGTACACCCTAAACTTATGCAGTGTTATATCTCAATTAAATCTCAAGAAAATGAAGAAAAATAATAAAAACAGAATTTGCTTTTCTCCTACCTGGGGGAAGTTGTCTCTGCCAGTCTTACGTATTTTATTTTATGATGACCCTCAGACATTCGAGGAGGATGGAGTTCAGTCATCATTCCAAGTATTTTCCTCAAAAAAAAAAAAGATTGTTTTCACCTAAGGAAGATTTTAAGGTTTTGTCTAAAAGCATGACTCCTTGTCTTGAAGAAAATATACTCCAAAATAATTGTAGTGACATAGTAAATTGAATTTCCTGATTTTGTGTTTCAGCTTATTCATCTTAGTTTTCTGTCATTTTCTTGTACTTTCCATAAAGTTGGCATAATCAGATGCATTTAACTGTACCTTTAATTAATAGTCACTGTAGTGTTAGGGACCGAATGTGTGTGTCCCTCCAGCATCCACATATTGAAGCTGTGACCCCCAGTGTGATGGTCTTTGGAGGCCTCTGGGAGAGAATTAGGGTTGGAGTGGGACAAGGGTGGAGCTCTCATACTGGGATTAATTAATAAAATAGGAAGAGACAGGAGAGCTCTCTCTGCATCATGTGAGGATACAGCAAGAGGGCAGCTGTCTGAAAGCCAGAAGCAGGTTCTCACCAGAACCCAAATGTGATGGTACCCTGATCTTGGACTGCCCAGGTTCCTCACCTGTGAGGAACCAGTGTCTGTCTGGGTTTTTTTTAAAGATTGGCACCTGAGCTAACATCTGTTGCCAATCTTTTTTTTTTTCCTTCTCCCCAAAGCCCCCCAGTACATAGTTGTGTATGCTAATTGTGAGTGCCTCTGGTTGTGGCATGTGGGACGCCGCCTCAGCATGGCCTGACAAGTGGTACCATGTCTGCACCTGGGATCCGAACCCACAAAACCCCAGGCCGCCAAAGTGGAGCACACGATCTCAACCACTCGGCCACGGGGCCGGCCCCCAGCATCTGTTGTTTAAAACCCTAGTCTATGGTATTTTTTTATAGCAGCCCAAAGCCAACTAAGACAAGTTTCATAACTGGTCTTGGCGGAACTTTAAACATTGCAAAATAAAATAAAAACGTAATTTACAAGTATGGATAATAATGGCTTTCCTTAAAGAAATGTTTCCTGCAAAGAAAAAGTTATAGCTTCTTATGCCCTAATAAAACCATTTCAATTCTTTCCCCATTTAAGAATTACAGTGCAACAATGTCTTAGAAAAACCAATATATGTCAAGTAAGCATCTACCCCTGATCATCTGAAATCCATAGTCTGCCTTGAGAAAATCAGAAAGGAATTTATGTGCAACTACAAACTAGAGAAATAATTTTGTACTTTAAGCCCAGGTAAGAGCTAGGATTTTAATCTAATCAGTTTCCAGAATCTTAGAACATATTATTTCAAGTTCAGGTGGGGTGCGCATACCTTGTTCTTCACTAGGGAGTTTCCTCTGTAAAGCTGGCAGGCCTCCTAAAGCATCCTACGTTGCCGTTATGAATAAATGTTCTGAAATGTTCAAACTGCTCCCTAGCTCTTCCCCTGTTGGCTGTTGGGAAAACCTCGAAACCCTCGGCCTGGGGTGGATGGCAGGAGGCGCCTGCTGTGCACCCAGATTCCAGGCAAGGCCATCTTTCAGGAGAGCCAAGGCTTCTTCTCAACAGGTTCCAAGTTGACTTTGCTGTGAATCCTGCCACAACCACCACCCTAACCCACTGTCTATGTAATAAGTGTCTGGACTTGTATATGTAATTTATGTGCATATTAATATTATTAATATTAATATCATTTAGAAACTTCATCTCAGAATGGTTCCAGATTACTGAAGAGGCAAGAGCCTCTTATAGTGAATTGCACATTCAGGTAATATTCACATGAGGCCCACTCTGTATTCCTGTATAGTTTTACTTTATAACTTCGTGTTTGCATTAGTAAAGGCGTTGACAACTATGAAAAATAATTTGAGTTTTAATAAGTAAACTGTGTGAACCAGTAATATTGATCGTATATTATCCTGTAGTACTTTTTCAGAATTTTTAAATTGCCTTTTCACGATTTCCTTAGGAAGATAACGGGCTCCCTCTAGTGGGAGGTGAGCATTAGAATTGAATTATTTCCCCAAAGCAGTGTAGCTTCTTAGTCACCCTCTGAAGGAAAGGGGGCCTCTTCTGACTCTGACAGTGTGGGCTCCATAACATTTAGTTTTCTCTTTGAATTTTAGCAAAGAAAATAACATTGATTATCCAGGAATGTTTATAGGACAGTCTTGAGTTTAGAATCAGGTTGATGATGTGAACCCAATCTGCCTAGGCGTTAGCTTCGGCCAATATATTTATGTAATTTATAAATACATAAATTCTAATTACAAAACTTAACTCGTAAGCCTTTACTTTGATAATTGAGTGGTTTTTAAAGGATTCTCTCATCTCTTGCGCTCATGTTAGAGCTGCGCGTAGGTGGCTTGCCCACGATTGTGTATCTGGAAGTCTGCTTTGACTCTGAGTTCCTATTAGTTTTACAGAAAGTAAGCCCTGTTCACTTTGGCTTTTCCTACTTTATAAGAAAAAAATGACTAAAATCCCATGCTTTTTTGAGGTAATTAGCTTTCTGCCCCTTACCATTTATGCTTGAAGCTAAAACTACATCTTATAGAGTTTAATAACTTATGTAAAATGTTAATTCTGAATCATCAAGAAAAATTAAAATTGTACCCAGGCAGGGAAGTAAATAGCACATTACAGCAATGGCTTTTGGTTTTATAATCAGTAAGAAAAAAAACGTTTAATGAAATTTAGCATTGAGAATGGGCTATATCCCCAAATGGTAAATAACCAATAACCAGCTCCAGGAAGAGTGGTTATGGCAAGTTATAGAAATTTTCAGTTTTAAAACCCCATATCACATATTGCACCTATTCCACATTTTATCTATCTTCTATCAAAGCGTGTACTTACTTGCTTTTTGGTAACTGTTGACAATGACATTCTACACTGGAAAAAGGTTGGCTCTCACTAAATATATCTATTTTTAATTTTCTTACAGCAAATCATATGCTTAGTTTTGGAACACTGGTCAGTACTTCCAATACCTACGATGGATCTGGTATTGTGACTGTGGAAACGGACCATCCGCTCCTCTGGACCATGGCCATCAAAAACTAACACAGCCACCGGCATCCTCAGCTGTGCCTCTGACTTACCTCATTTGCCAATGACTTATTGCTCAACAAGAACGGTTCACCGTGGTTTGCAGGAATCTAGAACTCTCCATGGGAAGTCCGCTAGTTTTAAAGATGTTAATATTTAAATAATCCAGGGGACATTATAAATGACAGATCTCTGTTTTACAGTGGGGGGGGGGGAAATCATTATTTGTTAAGAAAGGAAATAAGCTCTGTTACATTCAGTTGGAAAACTAATGTGGATCATTCCACTATAAAATGCAGCACTGGTTATTCTTATGTTATTAATCATTCCATTTATCCTAGGAAATTGGTTTTAATTTTGAAGCTGAGAAAGCTCTGTTGAGGGTCCTTGGTGTCCAGGATGTAAACCTCCCATCCTTAAATGCTTATCATCAAGGGCTACTTCTGAGTGTCTATTAATATTAGATTCCTCTATATAATATAGAAAGGAAATTCTTCCAGATTGGAATGTTAGAAGTACACCATTTCACTCTGGCCTTATTACTGTGTTTGGTGTTGTCTTTTAGGAATACATCCAGAATCATTGACCTAATTATTAAATTTGAAAACAGGTAGTTATGTAAGCTATAGATGAAAAGAGAAATGACACAAAAGATAAATGACAGTCCATAAAGCTCTACTAACGTATTCACCCCAAACTCAGCTTCTGAAGTCAGTGTGCTGGGCTTTAGTGGAGTGACAGATCCAAGTTGCCCTCATCATAATTACAATCTGGACTGAAAATGTTAGGCAGAGGAAACTTAAGCATAAAAATCGAATTGTTTCTGACATACCTCAGACTGAAAAAAACCTTAGTTCATAGACCACAAGGTTACCAGATTACCAGAAAATGGGTTTTGCAATCCATGGGGATGAGTGAGCACAGTGTATAAGGAGCCTGGTCTGAAAGCCTGCGTTCCTGTCCCTGTGCGGCCATCCATCTCAGTTCCCTGAACCCCCCTCCTCAGCCAGAAAAGGGAAGCGGCTGGATGGATGTGCCTGAGGTGCCTCCCCACACTCAGATGCCAGACACCGACGCTAGGCTGTCATTAGGCAGATAATGCCCAGTTACTAAACCATCTGGGGCACTGAAACGTATTTGCATTTCTTTTATGATGAGACCCTCTTCTATCCTCTTACCCTTTTCCATCTTGTTTACCAAACCGAATGTTGCCACACAAACCATGAAGTAAGAACCTGCCCAACGTGGTTCCATACCCACAGTCCCCGGGTTGCTGTAAGGAAAGGGACCAGCAGCTCTTTTCTTCCTGGTGCTACAGCAGAGGCGGCATCAGATTGTAAGTGGAGGATGAAAGCAGGGTCAGCTGAACTAGCATGCAATTGTGAACAGTTAATCATTAGAAATAATTTTTAAATATTTATGCAAATATATGTGAGATTGAAATCTGGAGCTCAAATAAAAATATTTAACTATCAGTGTGCATGTCTGTGGTCAGTTTTTAAGGAAACAATCCGTTGTCTCAACTGTGTTTCATTATCACCAATCTCTCATAATCAATGCTTCTGTATAAGAAAAGGATTTGCTCGAAGGATGATTGATAACTACAGTACCTCACTCATCTGATTTCAGAGAGCAGCCCAGTGCCTTTATTACTTTCTCTAATCTCCATGGCGGTTACTCTCTGGCTCACATGTGCCAGGTGTCTACACTTCATCTCTCTGGACTGCAGCCCCATCCATAAAATAGGGATTCTAGGTGGCACCCCATAGTACCTTGTAGGACTTGCAAAGAACAGGCAGATAGATTACTTTCAAAGATCTCTATAAGCTCGAGGAAAAAGAACCAATAGAAAGAAGGAAATTGGTGGAGGAAGAACCCTGGGGAGCAAGAGAAGGGATGGGAGGGGCCAGCCCTGTGGTGCAGTGGTTAAGTTCACACGTTCCACTTCGGCAGCCCGGGGTTCGCTGATTCAGATCCTGGGTGCGGACCTACGCACCACTTGGCACGCCATGCTGTGGCAGGCATCCCATGTATAAAGTAGAGGAAGATGGGCACAGATGTTAGCCCAGGGCCAATCTTCCTCAGCAAAAAGAGGAGGATTGGTGGCAGCTGTTAACTCAGGGCTAATCTTCCTCAAAGAGAAAAAGAAGGGATCAGAGCACAGGTGAGAGTCCCAGATTAGATGGTCAGTGCTATAGCAGAGCCCAGTTCTAGGCCCTTCTGCATCTGCTCAGCACAGGAGCAGAGCCCAGAGCTTCTGTCCATATACTGCCTACTTTCCCATTCACAGTCTGATTTCCCATTCACAGTAGAAAGATCAGTCAAGCTCCACTCCTTCAACTCGGAACCTCCAACAGAAAAACACCTAAGACCTCCACACCACTGCCCAAACAATACCTGCACCAAAAGGAGCTGGAGAGGAGCGAAGGAGAGGGGTCACGTGGCGTGGCACTCTCAGCGCTAGTCCTTTCTACTGCACTTCGAAGTTGAGGCTCAGCCATTGTATAGTCATCACTAGAAATGTGTTATATACATAGAAAAGAAGTATGTCCATTGTTTTATAATTTTACTACAAAAGAAAGCATGTCCTACTTATCCTGAAATTCTTACCAGTGTTAATAAGTGGATACTTAGCAAGAAGAATATACTTTGCTGCTTAGTAAGCATTGAGGAAAAATTTAAAAAATCATTGAGATTTATCCCACATTACCACCTATGTATCACACTGTAGCCATTGGAGGTCCGTGGAAGGGTTTCTCTTAAAGGATAGGGCACCCCTCCCAATTCCTGCCAGGCTACTGAAGAATTAGGTACTGGTCTTATCGTAACAGCTAGATCTTAAGTTAGCATGAGGGAAGCCATCTTAGGGAAAGGAAGCGACATTGTAACTATGACCCTGACTCACTAGTCTCTGTGAATACATTCTAGCTGGCAGATAGCCAAGATGATTAAGCACCTCTTGCTTTTACAAAATGTATGATCTGCTAGCTCTATGACTCTTGCTTCCCTATATCTCTGAGCTGTGACAAGACAACTTTATTCTCTGAGTTCCCCAGGAACATGATGACCTCCAGAAAGAAAAACTCTGTGTTGGTACCCATCATGAATGACAGAAGAAAGAGAAAATGTGGCGCCTTGAGGTTTGTCACACCGGATACTCAACATCCCTAACCCCCCTCCCTGCCTGCGCATTTCCCTTATATAACTGCCCCAAGGTTCTGTTTGATTTTAAGATGGTTCTTCGGGACACTAGTTGCCGTCTTCCGATTATGCTGGCTAATCGTATAAACTTTCCTTTCTCAACCACTGGCTCGTTTGCAACTGGTTGGCACCAGATTGCAGCAAGCAGAACGAGCCCATTTTTGCTTGGTTACATTATTATTTGACCCCTTTCTATTCCTTAAAAATACTTAAGTACAATTTTTCTCTTTAGGTACTTCCTCATTAGATCATTTAAGTAAGCATCCATTTGTTATTTTTATACGAACACTCTGAGTCTGCAGATGGGATCTCAGGTGCACCAGTGCCCTTTCTGATCCCCGGCCCCCCCCCCCCCCCCCGTCCAGTTCAGATCCTGACCTCCAGCTTGCGGCCATAAGAGACACTGGAAGTTGGGCCCTGCTAGGAAAGTGCCCTGTGTTCCTTGGCCCTTTTGACTTCAACCTTTCTTCTTTACATGGGTGAGATATATAGCTTTTATAAATCTGGGGGCGGTCCCCCAAGAATGGCATCTGGCTCCTAAATCACTGACTAGTGAGAACATGCTATGATGACTTCAGGCAGCAGGGCAAATCTGAAAATGGCTGCAGACTGAAACCCCGGCTGGAGTCCCAGTGACTATGAGCTGTGCTAAGTTGTGTGTGTGGTCCAAGGCATTGGGAGTGCACCACATTCCCAGACCTAGGTCGGGCACAGTGATACATCCTCATTCCTTAATTTCTGCTAAGCAGACAGAGAGCATTTTCTCTTGGGATGGGAACTGGGGCCATCCACTAGTTACAGAGCTTCACTCAGAGCAAGGAGGATATGGCCCTGGCGGCCTGGGTGTTCATAACGGTAGCTGCTTAAGCACTTCTGTCACGCTTCCGTATGTGTGGAATGCATTTTAAACAGACCTGGCTGACTACTCCTGCTCAAATTCATGCCTTCAGAGCTTTACTTGAACAATCAAAGTAAAGCAGCACATGGACTTGATCTGACGGAGACTGATGACAGGCACCAAGGCGGGAAGCAGTAAGAAATTGTGCTCTCTCCCCTCAGGCTCTGTGCTCATGAAAGGAGTGTGGTCTGAGTGGTGACTCTCAAGCTATATTGACCATGACCCTCTAGGAATACATGATGTCTTGTGACATAGTCCACACATACACAAAAACATGCACGTTCTCTAATATTTTATTCTAAATTGAAAAACACCCAGAAATCTATTCTAAGTTGAAAAAACACACCAAAGGGTAAAGTAAAATGCATAAAGAGACTTTTTGAAAATGTGTGTGTTTGTGCAAGAGTTCTGCATTGAGCATACACTTCTTTCCTAAGTTTAGGACAAACTGAGTATAATTTACCAATTTATCTTTATCACTTAATAATAATAGTTTTTATTCTTATATATGTGCTAAGAGAATAACCTCCCAATGACAGCAGGCTGAGTGTAATCCTATTTGGGAATAATAAAACCAATTTAACCTCATTAGGAATGGGGCAGTGGGGGGAGCTAGATTATTTAAATTGTGTCTGAAGCATTCTATTCAGAATAAAATAAATGATCCTTATACCTGGGGGAGATTAAAATTGAAGCCACAGGTCAAGGCAGTCCCAGGGTGTCTGTATATACAGAATGGAAAATTTCTGGCACATACAGTACAAGTTTGCCCTCCCTTGCCCAGAGCAGATTTCACTTATCAATCATGGTTTTCTTTTTTGATTAGCTGCAGCCTGTGCCTCATCTCAAAACAATTCTCCAGGCAGCCGTGATCAATTATTCTCCATTGGCTTGGCACCCCTGGTGGCTCAGAGCTAATGGGAGATCCCGCCACTGTACACAAAACACCTACAGTTCCATCCTGGGAAAGAGGTCATGGCAACATCATTCTTCTTCAGGGGGAATGAAGGACGTGTTCCCCATGTACTTAATTCCACCACTGAAAGCAAGGGCTTTGTATACAGCAAAAGAAAAACTAATGCCATCCCTCCCAACAGCTTGAAAAACATAAACAGGGCCCTGAGATACCCACAGTTGAGAGACGAGAAATTTCTCAGAATAGAGCCATAGCTTATCCCTGAGAACAAAGAAATCTAAGATATATAATACTGTGTTAGTCCAAAGGTTGAAAAGGGTTTTTTAGCTAACAGCAAAAGGAATCAATAAAGGATTACAAATAATACCTTAAATATTTCTTTCTTTTAAAATTACCTTTAAACCCAAAAGACTAGTGAGTATTTAATAGTCAGTTTATATTTTTGAACAATAAACATGGGAAATTATGAGTGTAAAATTCTGCAGGAACTGAGCATAGTCTCATCTGAATGGCAGAATTAATTTTGTGCATAGTTGCTTAACATTCTGAATCCTCTGCCAGAATATCAACCCCTTGGGAGCATGGACTTCATGTTTCCTGTTATCTGCTGTATCCTGTCTTAGAATAGGGCCCTGTTGTCAGCACATGTGCAAAAAATATTCATGTAGTACCACTGGTGCATTAGCTAACCTCCCCACTTGAACCCAGGCCCAAGGACTATACTGTTTGGCTTCCCTAGTCCCTGGAAATGATTGCTCTTTTCCTTCCTCCATCCCTAACTATCCAGGCTTTAAAGCAGATATGCGAAAGTTTCCCAAGTGCCCTCATTCTAGATGGATAGACTGGTATATATGCTTGCTCACTCACATTTCTGAAGAAGGAAGTAATGTTCACAGCACCAAGGCTGGGCTCAAAGATGTCATTCCAGGCAAATTACAGCAAGTAAGCAATCAAGGAAAATCAGAAGGCCAAGAAATTGTAAGGGGCTTGAAATCCACAGATAAGGGAAAATGAAAGCCATGAGGCGAGTAATGACAGAGGTTTGGGAGATTGGGATGGACTAAAAGAATCAAGATCAAAATAAATGTGAAGAGCACATTTGATTGGCCTGACTTACTGGGGAAAATGCAAAAATAAGAGGTTAAAGAAATTTTTCTGAGTTGGAAATCTTGTAGCTGGAGCTATTTCCACCTTTGGAGGTTCAAGGAATGACCCTGGCAGTCATGAGTTGATACAGACTACCCCAAAAATAAGAGTTGTTTTCAAACACTTGAAGACCATGGCATTTGATTCTGATATTTTGTTTATTTGTGTTTACATCTATTTGTTCCTCAGATTAAACCTTTAACATGCATATGATATTAGCCTGAGGAGTCTAAAACCATAAAAAAAATGTTATCTCCAACTGAATCAGCCACACTAAACCTCATTATTTGTGATTTTAATTAAGCGTTCTCTAT